ATAAGAGAGAATAAGAGAGAGAAAGAGAGAATAAGAGAGACAGAGACAGAGAGAGAGAGAGAAAGAGAGAGAGAGAAAGAGAGAAAGAGAAAGAGAGAAAGAGAATGCGAGAGTCAGAAAAAAAAGAAAGAAAGAAAGTGAGAAAGAGAGAGAGAAAAAAAATCTTCCTTGTTGTTGCTGGCGAATTCCCCTTAAAATAGAATAAAAATCTCTTTCAAGCCTAAGATTCCTACGATTTATTCATAGGTTTTTCTGAACTTCATAATCATTTTCCAAAAATACATTCTGACTTTGACAATATTAATAACACCACCTAAAGACGTACAGAATAATACATAAATCAAAAACTAAAATAACCAAGACAGAACAGAAATAAAGACGAGAAATACATAAATATGGAAATATAAAGAAAATAAATAGATAAAAGATAGATAAAGAGATAAAAGCTAATCCATTTACCTCAGAGTCATATTTTTAATTATTTTTGTCTTAATTCTTATTTGAAATCTTACCCAAATCCAAAGGGAAGGAGACCACAGGTTTCCTTTCTCCTAAAGTCAACAAATTTTTGTCTTAATAGCGGAGAAAATTTGATTAAGCAAATTTCGTTTAGTTTACCCTCTCTGAGTCAGATGCATTCTCGAGTTCGCATAAAATAGAGAAAGAGAAAAAAAAAATGAAAAAAAAAAAAATACACAAGGAAAATACGAGGGGCAAGATAAGAAAAAAAATGGAAAAAAGAAAGAAAGGAGTAAAAAATTGAGAAAAATACGAGGATCGAATATAAAAGGAGGTAGATAGATAGATAGGCAGTTGGATGGATAGATAGATAGATAGGCAGGTGAATGGATAGATAGATAGATAAATAAATAGGTAAATAAATAGGTAAATAGATAGATAGATAGACAGATAGGTAGGTAGACAGGTAGAGAGATGGATAGATAGATAAATAAATGGATGGATAGATAGATAGATGAATAGAGGGATAGAGAGATATATAGATAAATAGATAGATAGAGAGAGAAATATATAAATAGAAAGATAGATACAGAAATAGAGAAATAGATAGAGAAATAGATAAATAAGTAGATAGACCGAGAGCGAGGGAGGAGTGGAGTGAGAAGTGAGTGAGTAAGAGAAGAAGAGAGAAAGGGAAAAATAAGAGAGAGACATGGGGGAAGGAGTGGGACTGAGAGCGCGCGTGTGGGAGAAAAGAGAGAGAGAGAGAGAGAGAGAGAGAGAGAGAGAGAGAGAGAGAGAGAGAGAGAGAGAGAGAGAGAGAGAGAGAAAGAAAAGAGAGAGACACAGAGAGAGAGAGAGAGAGAGAGAGAGAGAGAGAGAGAGAGAGAGAGAGAGAGAAGAGAGAGAGAGAGAGAGAGAGAGAGAGAAGAGAGAGAGAGAGAGAGAGAGAGAGAGAGAGAGAGAGAGAGAGAGAGAGAGAGAGAGAGACAGAGAGAGACAGAGAGAGAGAGAGAGAGAGAGAGAGAGAGAGAGAGAGGGGAGAGAGAGAAGAGAGAGAGAGAGAGAGAGAGAGAGAGAGAGAGAGAGGAGAGAGAGAGAGAGAGAGAGAGAGAGAGAGAGAGAGAGAGAGAGAAGTGATAGATAGATCGACACATACAAAGAGAGAGATAGAGACAGCCAGACAGAGACATAGACAGAGACAGAGAGAATAGAGAAAGAGAAAAAGAGAGAGAGAGAGGGAGATAAGAATGTAAGAAATCGTAATATATTTTCCCATAGAAATATACTTTGAAAACTAATGAACAGGATATATCTTTTCATAGAAGGTGATGTTATTACATTAAATCATATTTAGAATCTGAAATACTATTACAATTTAACGTTTTATTTCAGCAACCGAAATAGAAAGTAAAGTTTGGTAAATTACTCGTAAACTTTCTTTTTTTTTCATTTACAAATCTGATTTCATTCTTCGTCTTTCTTGAATTTCTCTTTTCCCCTCTTCCTCTTCCCTCCTATGTCTTCTTTATCCACCATCTTCCTTCCTTCCCCTTTTCTCTCTCCTTTTATCTTCTTCTATTTCCATCGTTTCTCCTTTCTTTCCTTTATACTACCTCCCACCTTCGCGTCTTCAAAGATGTATTGCTAGACCCGGCCATCTATTTGCAAGCGACGCATCTCTCCTGTTCTCTCGTTTATCAATGTGTTCGGTTAAGTGCTTTTCGCAAACAAAATCGATGCAGAGGACGCAAGGTGACGCGCCAGCAGAAAAACACACAATTTCGAATGTGCAGTTACAGATTTATATATATATATATATATATATATATATATATATATATATATATATATATATATATATATATATATATATATATATATATATATATATATATATATATAGAGAGAGAGAGAGAGAGAGAGAGAGAGAGAGAGAGAGAGGGAGAGAGAGAGAGAGAGAGAGAGAGAGAGAGAGAGAGAGAGAGAGAGAGAGAGAGAGAGAGACGTATATATGCGTGTATGTATATATATATATATA